TTTTTACAAAAGCCCTAGATGAGAAAAGGTTTAACTTCCTTTTGGAGAAAATTGGAATGTCGTGTCCAGAGTCTTAGGTGGTGGTCGCCTTAATGCTTTATTCTTTTTGTTCATATTTTTTTTATCAAATTTAATTTTGTGAATAATTTAAATTTCTTGAATAATTTTTCGCTTGATTCTTTAGTCTACAGGTTTAACCAAGCAGAAACTTGCATGGTTCAAGGGGGAGTTTGTGTTTTAAAAAGATAAAACCTTTTGAAGAATAAAATGTTTTAGTTCACATAAGTCTTTTCACAGAACCTCTGTGACTGCTTATAGAGGCTCTTTGAACGGATCTTCTGTGGACACTTCTTCTTAAGGATTTTCAAATGGTTTTTATTCAAGAGGGAGCCAAGGAAGCTGGCTTAGAGGGGGAGTTTTCAAAACTAATATAAAACCACAGAAGGTGCAAAAACGTTTGAAGTATTTTGTTCTCAGAGGTCATCTCATCAGAACCTCTGGCGCTTCTAACAGAGGCTCTGTGAGCTGAGCTGAGCAAATACTCATCTCTCCGTGGATTTTCTAAAACCGTTTAGGTAAAAAGGTGTAACATTTATAAGAAGGTCCAGCACATATCACAGAGGCTCTGTAATCCTTAGGCCTTTGACAGAACTCTGTTGATAGTTCCTGTCTATTGATATGGTACGCGTGGTTATATGGATAAGGGTAAGATTATACACGCACGTGTCAGAAAACGGGAGCGCACGTCATCAATCGCGCGTCTTCCCAATACGACGTGTCATATATTTTTGAACCGTTTCAATCAAAACCACTCATTACACGACCTTTCGTACTGTAGACGGTTCAATTTTGAAACTCCTTACCTATAAATACCCTCCTTCCCCCCAAATTAAAACCTTATGCTCACAAAAACTTCCTAATACACAGACGAACCTGCAACCTGCAACTCTCTCAAGCTTACCTGTAACAATGTCTTCTTCAAGTGCCTCAGCCCAGTCTGTTAACGCCTCAAGTGACAATGAGGTGACGCAAGCACAAGCCCTAACCTCTCATGCCCTGTCTTTCGTGCAAAACAAGTACGAAAAGATCGTCCTGGTGAAAAAGCCGAATAATTACCACTTCGTCCCCTCAGGTTTTCCCGATAACACCTTTACTTTAATGGAGATTCTAAGAAACCACCCTCTCTACTATGCTTTAACTGCTACTCGACCCATACCAGAAACCTATTTAACACAATTTCTATTGAGTGCATACATAACCACCCTTGACAATTCTGGGCTAACCATTGTTGGTTACGCCTCTCACCCTGTAAATAAATTCCTTGTCCCTTTAGAACTAAACTTGGAAACTCTGAGAACTGCTCTTCATTTGCCCACTCTTGAACAATTGAACCTAAATGCCTATGCTGCCACTCCTACAGACGATGAATTAATCCAATTTTTGGAGTTTCATTCTTATGCGACACCGATTACCAAAAGGACACAGTTCAGGCVTAWGGGAYTACCCCCTGTGTGGAACACTCTATTCTCCATCATCAATTGCTGCCTCACAGGGAAGGTAGGTAGCCATGACCAAACATCCCACGCTATGCTGTCCATAATGTATGGCATCTACTTTAATCTGCCACTGGACTACGCGCAATTGATTTTCGAGGACATAGTCGGCCTCATCAAGAAGAAGTGCGCCTGTCAGAAAGGGGAGAAGACGAAGGTACAGGCCCAAAAGAAGGCCAAGGAAGACATGAACCAGCCAAACTTGATCTTACAACGCTTCCTTGGTTTGGCTTTTGGAGACCTTCTGGCAGCAAGATTGCCTCCTGTGGAGCCGAATGCCAAACTATATCCTTTCAAGGAGTTTAGACCTACAGAGCACGAGCATGGCTACAGAAGCCCAAGTCCCCTATCGAAGGCCATGCTCAGGTACTTAAGTCACCACGATCATAAATCCTATAGACGTGCAAACAGGCGACCAGAACCGGTCCTTTTAACCCCGCCACGAATAGGTGTCCCCTTAGGTGTGGAAATCGAAAAAATGAGAGTAGAGGGACGCATGGAGGAGCCAGTAGTGGCTGGTGAGGTGAGTGAGCATCCCCCTAGAATCCCAAGTCCTCCACGCAAGAAGACGAAGACACAGAAGGGTACCGACTCTTCTGTGAAAAAGTCGAAGAGGAAAAAGAGGCCCGTAGAAGAAGAGAGCCCAACTGTACCTCTGCCAAAACCAAAGAAGAGGAAAACAAAGAAGGCTAAACCAAAAGAGCCTGTGATCACAGAGGCCATAGCAGAAGAAAGCCCGACAGAGGCTACAACAAAACCCAAGCGCAGAAGGTTGCACAAGATGGTCCACGATGTCTCCCCAACAGAACAAATTCAGGATGTTCTGTTGAATATCCAGAAAGAGTTCAGGGTGCCAATTGCTGAAACTCAATTGGGGATAGAAGTCATTCTAGATGACGAAGAAGAAGAGGTAGAAGTGTTAGGTGAGGGTGCAAAAGATGCCGAAGGCACACATCCAAGCCCACCCCTAGTGCATCCCAAATGTCTAGAGGCCCTGTTCTAGAGGGAACCTCCATTGAAGCAGGCACACACATGCCGAACCCTAACCAGCCTACCACCGTAGAGGACACTCTTTCGTCCTCTGTGGAGCGCACATCTGGGAAACCACAACATACTCCTTCACCCTCTCAAAAGGGTGAAGGTTTTACAATAAGAGTCCAATCGCCCAAGGACTCGACAGTACCCCCAGAGACATTTTTTGTCTCTTCACAGAGTGTTCAACCAGAACGTGCTTCAGAGGCACATGTGAGAGTCACAGAGTTAGAGGGTCTAGAACGCCCTCTGTCTCCACTAGATCAAAATTTCAGGTTAGGCTCTGAAACTACCAAACATGAGATCTACAGAACACCGTTAGGCTCTCCTCAAGGAGATGTACGAGGATACGGTGGAAGTCCCCGAGCAGGCTATGAAATGCCAGCCGCTGAGGGCGCCTCACGCTCCAAGGCCAAAGGATCACCATGTGTTGGTGGTCCGAGTTCCCAGAACGATTATGTGATAAAGGGGGAGCTTAATGCCTTTGCCACAGAGTTGTTCACCAAGATGGACGAGTTGAAAAGCTTGTTCATCTCGCGCTCACAGCCACTAGATCTCTCGCCTCTCACAGAAGCTCTGAAGGAGTTATCCTCCACTACTGCAGAATTGAAGACTACCTTGGTAACCCTTCAGAGCTCTGTCCTTCGAAAGGATGATTTAGCATAAGCCTTCCAAGCGATGATGCTAAATCCCTCCTCCATCAAGACGTTGAAGACTGAACTCACAGAGCTGGCCGCTCAATTCATAGCCGATTTCGTCTCTGCGGGCTACGCAGATTACTCTTCATTTAGAGACGAAATCAAGGAGATGTTCTCCTCTGCGGTCACCTATGGCCTTGACTCGAAGACCTCAAGGCACAGCATCAATCATTTGGCTACTCGCAGAGAGCTGGATGCTATGGTGGATGCCCTAGGGGATGTTGTAATCGGTCATATCGGAGCACTTGCCACAGAGGTCTAAACTTCAAACGCTCTCATAAAAGACTGCACGTCCAAGCTTGTAAAGGAAGGTGATCTACTTCGAGCAGAGATTTTCAGCACCGTCTCCAAGCTTAAATGGGCCACAGAACTTGATGTGATGAATGCCTTTGCCGGTGCTGAGAAGGTGATAGAGAAAATGTACAAAGCGGCCACAAAAATCTTGCGTCATTTGAAGAGGGCTCCCCTAACTACATGCAAGGCCGATGTCGTATAGAGCCATGACGATCATAAGGGTGATGATGATCGTCATGAGGGGGAGAAGAAGGAGGAAAAGAAGAAGGCCCCAGAATCTAAAAAGAAGACATCCGCCAGAGCACCTGCTAGAGGTGTAAAGATTGGAGAGTCTACAGCTGCTGACAAAGGCAAGAAAAAGGCTGCAGAGCCTAATTGCAAGGGAAAGGCCATAGCTGTAGAATCTTCAAAGAAGGGTTCATCATCGATCTCAGAATCCTCAGCGCCAATCAATGAAGAAAAATATGCTGATGAACCTGATCTCCTCAAAGTTTTAAAGTTATCTCGGAAAGAGGCTCAGGCTAAGAAGGGCAGAGTGCCTATGCACCACAGAGAGGGCGAGGCCACATCATCCGTTTTCCCTCAAACCCAAACTACGTCCACGGGTACGTTTGATGCCCTGCAAGGAACCGTCAAGCCCATCGTTGCAAAGGGATCAACCCAGAGGCCGATTCTGGAAGAAGAAGAAGAATAGAAGATGCCAGAGTCTACAGCGGGAGGACGGGTCTCTGAAATCTTAGAGTCTATGAGCAAGATTCTGACGCTAAATGTTCGCACAGAGCATGTCACTACCCCAGAAGAAAAATGCTTATTTGGAAGTACTCTGTAACAGACACAGAGCCACCCTATGATCCAGAGTTCACTGGTATCCCCTCTGCTGCAGCTAAATTCCAATTTTCCAGACTAACAAGGCCTCGTGAGCAGGTCTTCTCACGCCACATGATCACTTCATTGGTGACAATCTCACCAAGGACTTTATTAAAGAAAACCATGCTCTACACACAGTATCTAGTAAGGAGAGAAGATGGCAACCTCTACACGTTCACTGATGCTGATCTTCACAACCTCTGCGTGTATGATGTCATCTATTAGCACAAGATTCTTAACATCTACATGGAGAGGAGGTCCACATACCAGATATCGCTCAGAAGGCTGATTGAGGTTATGCGTGCGCAAGTGATGTATTACAGCCAGAAGGACTTTGAGTTGGCCATGAGATTAGCACAGAAAAATCTAAAGATCACTCCTCCTTACAGCAGGCCCAGTTGGGTACCTAAGTACTATCCAAACACCATCCTACACAATCCCATTTTTGGGTTTATGTATTTGGATAAGGATGAGCTACTAAGATTCTTCGACCCAACAGAAGCTCACAAGTATTCACGGATACATTGGACTGGATATTCAAGTGTATTGTGGCAGAGGTGGACAAAAGACATTACAGGGTTGGTGAAGTGTCTCAGCTCTTGGACGCGATTAAAGCTCAGATCAACTTCAGAGAGTTCATCTTCAATGTCTACAGAACAATCAAGTCAGATTTTGTGCATGCAGTAGACGACTTCCCAGAGTCTGAAGTTTGATACTCTTCTGTTCCAGAATCCGGCCTTAGCTTCAACAGTTTTGTCATTTAAATTTTGTAATTCTTTTCATTGTAATTCTTTCAGAGGATGATGTTGTATCACCTCTTGTAATTTAATTTCAATTAAGTCATGTCCTTGCACTTAAAGTTTAATTTTTACTTTTTCATACTTAGAGGGAGATTGTTAGCTCTCATTTCATTAAATGTAAAAGTATGGAAAAAAAAAACTACAAGTATTGACAGAAGATGATCTGTCACAGAAGACCACAGAGGACCAACAGCAGAAGATGCTCAAGCGTTCAAGTCTCAAGTGACRGAACCTCTGTYGTGTCTCACAGAGGTTCTGTAAACTGGTCCTCTGCAAAGACAATGCTACAAGACAAAGACGACAGAACCTCTGTCGTGTCTCACAGAGGTGCTGCAGTCTGTCTTCTGTATAGATCTTCTTTAGCTTTTTTAATTAGGTTTATTAGCTGCTCGTGCTTATCACGTGTTCTTTTCTGTAATCTGTTTTTGATCGAACGACTTAGATTAATTTGCTTTAGGTCATGTCAGAAAACGGTTACTTGCTTGTATAAATAGCAGCGTAGGCCCTTGTATTTCAGTGTGCTTCCGTATTGTAATTGTTAACATTTTCATTGAATTGAAAATCATTTTGAAGCTCTCTCGTGTTCATCAATCGTCTTCATCGTGTTCTTATAGATTTCTACTTTGGTTGATTATTACCTTTCCGCTGCATTAACATTGTCAAACAAATCATCCAAGTAAGTAATTAATACCAAGCAACCGAGTTAATTGATTCTACAAATAGATTTTGAAAAGATTAAAACATCATCAATATAAACGATGGCAAAATTGCATAAAGGATTAATAATATTATTCATAATATTTTGAAATTCGGATGGAGCATTTTTGAGACCAAATGGCATAACATTCCATTCGTAATGACCAAAAGGAACATTAAAACCAGTTTTGTATTTGTCTTTTTCATGAATTTGGATTTGCCAAATCCAGATTTCATGTCGAATTTTGAAAAGATTTCTGCTTCATGYAATTTTTTGAGTAAATCTCTTTTATGTGGAATGGGATATCTGATCCATTCTAAAACTTTGTTTAGGGGTTTATAATTTATTACAAGTCGAGGATCACCTCTTTCTATTTCAGAAGCATTCATAACATAGAATGTTGAGCATGACCAAGGAGATTTAGAAGGTCTTATAAGTTTCTTTTGAAGCAAATCTTGAATTTCCGTTTTACAATGTTCTTGTAATTCAGAAGACATATGAATAGATCTTGATTTAGAAGGGATATTTTTTTCTTCAAATTCTTTAATATAAGGTAATTKGACTATATGTTGTTTTTGGTTCCAAAAAGCATTTGGAATATTTGAACAAACATTACTTTCGADTTTTTCTTTTATTCTTTTTATTTTATTTTGAATAAATGAACTTGATAAATTCTTAGAAATTCTTAAACTGTTTATCTCTTCATTTAAGAATTTTACTTGATTAATTTTATTATTTAAATTATTTAATTCACTATAAACAATTGGACTAGCAAATTTGAAAAATATTTCTTTATCTAATACTTTGGTGATTAAATCATCTTGATTGATTAAAAATGGGTATAATTGAGTAATAAATGGAGTATCTAATATTAGAGTAGAAGTTAAATTTTTAACAAGTATTAAAGAGGTTTTATAGCAATATTCGTCGTTACAAATATAAACATCTGATATTTTATATTGAATATTAAGTGATGAACCACTTGCAGTTGATAAACGATTTTTTGTTTTCTCATAATACTTTGTAGGTATAATTCCTTCTTGAATACAATTCATGTCTGCACCACTATCAATTAGTGTTCAGACAGTTACTTTGAATTCATTATTGATACATAGATTAATATAAACATTCCATTTTTGAGTAGTTATTCCTTTTATAGGATTAATTATTTTATTTTTAATCTGAGTAATCGTTTGATCATCTGTTTGTTCAATAGATTTTTTATCGTTTTCGATAATAGATAACCTATCTTTTATTATTTTAATTTCATTCTTAACAATTTTTAGTTCTTTTTGTAAGTCTTCTATTTTTACTGGGGTAGTTGATTTTGTAAACCTTAAATAATCCTCTTGAAAATTAAAAGATTGAGTAGAAATTATTGGTTCTTTTTGTTTATTAAAAAGTTTATTAGTTATTTGATTTTTAATTTCTCTATCTTGAATTTTGTCTAAAAGTTCTAAAATTTCTCTTTCCTCATTTGTAATAACATTTATTTGATTACAAGTGCATTTTCCTATACATTCACAGCTTGACTCAGATTCTTCAGATGAAGAATAATCTTGGACAAAATTAAGATCGTAGTCTGAGATGTATGATTCATCTTCAGAACTGTCAT